TTTTGGTTGACCCATTCATTGTTTAGTAGCATGTTATTTAACTTCCATGTATTAATGTTTTTCACAGATTTTTTCCTTGTGTTGGATTTCTAGTTTCATAGTGTTGTGTTCAGAAAAGATGCATGGTATGACTTCGATCTTTTTGAGTTTGTTGAGACTTCTTTTGTGATCTAATATGTGATCTATTCTGGAGAATGTTCCATGTGCACTTGAGGAGAATGTGTATCCTGCTCGTTTAGAATTGAATGTTCTGAATGTATTTGTTAAATCCATCTGGTCTAGTATGTCATTCCAAGTCACTGTTTCCTATTGATTTTCTGTTCGGATGATCTGTCCACTGATGTGAGGTATTAAAGTCCCCTACTATTAGTTCTTTTATGTTTGTTGTTATTTCCTGTTATGCTTGTTACTAACCGTTATGTACTTGGGTTCTCCCATGTTTGGTGCAGAAATACTTGCAATTATATCTTCTTACTGGATTGACCCCTTTATTATTATATAGTGTCCTTACATCTTGTTACAGTCTTTATTTTAAATTCTGCTTTGTCTAAGTATTGCTACCTCAGCTTTCTTTTGACATCCATGGGCAATGACAAATGTTTCTCTATCCCTTCAATTTCAGTCTGCATGTGTCTTTAGGTTTGAAATGCATCTCTTGTGGGCAGCATGATGAGTCTTATTTTTTATCCATTTCATCACCCTATGTCATCAAAAAAACTCCCAACAAACAAAAGTCCAGAACCAGATGGCTTCACAGATGAATTCTACCAAACATTAAAGAAGAGTTAATATCTACTTTTCTCAATCTGCTCCAAAAAATAGAAGAGGAAGGAAAACTTTCAAATTCTTTCTATGAGGCAAGGATTACCCTGATACCAAAACCAGATAAAAACGCCACAAAAAAAGAGAACTACAGGCCAATATCTCTGTTAAACATAGATGCAAAAATCCTCAACAAAACATTGGCAAATCAAATCCAACAATACACTAAAATCATTCACCATGACCAAGTGGGATTTATTCCTGGGATACGAGGGAGGCTCAGTATTCACAAATCAATCAACGTGATACATCACATCAATAAGAGGAAGGATAAAAACCATATGATCATTTCAATAGGTTCAGAAAAAGCATTTGACACATCTATTCATGATAAAAACCCTCAAAGTAGGTTTAGAGGGAACATACCTCAACATAATAAAAGCCACACATGAAAAACCCACAACTAACATCAATCTCAATAGGGAAAACTGAGAGTTTTTCTCCTAAGGTCAGGAACAAGACAAGGATGTCCCCTCCCACCACTTTTATTCAACATAGTACTGGAAGTCCTAGCAACAGCAATCAGACAACAAAAAGAAATAAAAGGCATCCAAATTAGTAAGCAAGAAGTAAAACTTTCACTATTTGCAGATGACGTGATACTATATATAGAAAACCCTAAAGACTCCACCAAAAAACTACTAGAACTAATAAATGAATTCAGCAAAGTCACAGGATACAAAATCATTGTACAGAAATCTGTAGTATTTCTATACACTAATAATGAAGCAACAGAAAGAGAAGTTAAGAAAACAATCCCATTTACAATTGCACCAAAATAATAAGATACCGAGTAATAAACTTAACCAAAGAGGTGAAAGACCTGTACTCTGAAAACTATAAAACATTGTTGAAAGAAAGTGAAGATGACAGAAAGAAATGGAAAGACATTCCATGCTCATGGATTGTAAGAACAAATATTGTTAAATGTTTATACTACCCAAAGCAATATATACATTTAATGCAATCCTGATCAAAATACCAAGAGCATTTTTCACAGAACTAGAATAAACAATCCTAAAATCTGTATGGAACCACAAAAGACCCTGAATAGCCAAAGCAATCTTGTAAAAGAAAAACAAAACTAGAGGTATCACAATTCCAGACTTCAAGTTATATTACAAAGCTGCAGCAATCCAAACAGTATGGTACTGGTACAAAAATAAACACATAGCTCAATGGAACAGAATAGAAAGCCCAGAAGTAAAGCCCCAGTTATATGGTCAATTAATCTTTGATAAAGCAGGCAAGAATGTGCAATGGGAAAAAGATAATGTCTTTAACAAATGATGTTGAGAAAACTGAACAGCAACATGCCAAAGAATGAAACTGAACCACTTTCTTACACCATACACAGAAATAAACTAAAAATGGAGTAAGGACCTAAATGTGAGACCTGAAATCAAAAATCCCAGAAGAGAGGATATGCAGTAATTTCTCTGACATTGGCCAAAACAATGTCTTTCTAGATATGTCTCTGGAGGCAAGGGAAACAAAATCAGAAATAAACTATTGCACAGTAAAAGAAACAACCAACAAAACTAAAAAACTACCTACTGAATGGGTGAAGATATTTGCAAATGAGGTATCTAATAAAGGGTTAGTATCCAAAATACATAAAGAAATGATACAACTCAACACCTAAAAAACAAATAATCCAATTAAAAATAGGCAGAAGACATGAACAGACATTTCTCCAAAAATATACAGATGGTCAACAGACACAGGAAAAGATGCTCAGTATTATTCATCATTGGGGAAAGGCAAACCAAAACCACAATGAGATATCACTTTGTACGTGTCAGAATGAGTAACATCAAAAACACAGGAAATAATAAGTGTTGGCAAGGATGTGGAGAAAAAGGAACCCCCATGCACTGTTGGTGGGAATGCAAACTGGTGCAACCACTGTGAAAAACAGTATGGCGGGTCCTCAAAAAATTAAAAATAGAACTATTATATGATCAAATAATTCCACTCCTGGGTATTTACTCAAAGAATACAAAAACACTAATTTGAAAAAAAAATACCCCCTTATGTTATTGCGATATTATTTACAATAGCCAAATTATGGAAACAGCCCAAGTGTCTATCAATGGATGAATGGATAACGAAGATGTGATATATATATATGTATGTGTGTGTCTGTGTCTGTGTGTGTGTCTGTGTGTGTCTGTGTATACACACACACATACATACAATGAAATGTTACTCAGCCATAAAAAAGAATGGAGTCTTGTCATTTGCAACAACAGGACTGGAGCTAGAGAGTATATGTCAAGGGAAATAAGTCAGTCAGAGAAAGACAAATACCATATGATTTCATTTATATGTGGAATTTAGGAAACAAAACAAATGAAGAAAAAAAGAGACAAACCAAAAATCAGATTCTTAACTATAGAAAACAAACTGATGGTTACCAGAGGGAAGGTGGGTGGGGGGATGGGGGAAATAGGTGAAGGGAATTAAGAGTACAATTATCTTGATGAACACTGAGTAACATATAGAAGTGCTGAATCACTATACTGCACACCTGAAACTAATATAACACTGTATGTTAACCACACTGGAATTAAAATAATTTTTAAAAATACATATCAAGTAAGTTATCAAAGTATTTCAATGTCCTATACAATCACTTCATGATTTCTGGACAGGGAAAATGTACATTTCCCCTTTTTTTATCCCAACTAAAATAGAGACTATCTTCCTTTGCCTTATACAATAAGCAAACATGGAAAGCAAATGATATCAACTCCAGAATTCTTTTTTTTTTTTAAGATTATTTATGTATTTATTTGACAGAGAGAGACACAACAAGAGAGGGAACACAAGCAGGGGGAGTGGGAGAGGGAGAAGCAGGCTTCCTGCCGAGGAGGGAGCCCGATGTGGCGCTTGATCCCAGGACCCTGGGATCCTCTGGGATCATGACCTGAGCTGAAGGCAGATGCTTAATGACTGAGCCACCCAGGCACCCCTCTCCTCTGTCATGTTTTTAAGATGCTTCCTTCCCAACAATCTTACTTACTGTTATGTCTATATGTAGGGGGTTTTTTTGTTTTGTTTTCAAATGCAATTCCTTTTTATTAATTATTCAGTATGTCATAATATGAACAGGCAAGAACAATAATACTGAGCTCTTCACAAAATGTATTTGAAGCTGTCAGTACTATTACCTACTCTATTCAGAAAACTTTCAGAATTTGTTGATTCAGTTCAAGCTTGTCCTGCCCTCAGCTAGGCAATCGCAAACACAGTAGCTGCACGGAGATGGAGGGGTTAAATGGCATCATAAAATAGTGAGTAGATGGGGGTGATACAGAGGAACAGCAGGGGTGGAATCTTAGTTATCCACATAATGACTGGTTACTAAAATTTGGTAGTACAAAAGCATCTAATATAGAGTTAAATTAGAATAATGAAACCATTAATGTACATGATTTGGGAATAAACTATCTGAAACGCAACTCTGCCATTCGGTGGTACAGCATATTTTTCTTAAGCAAAGTCAGCTTGAAACTTAAGCAGGCAAATCACTTTCAAAGTTCTCCTTTGGCAAGGAAAACTCACAAACTGTTTTGAAGTTTCTAGGCTATTCAAAAGGGCAATTTCATTGGTTATGCCAATAACTGATTTGCTTACTCAAGGAACTCTGCTTTAAAGAAGAAAATGTCTGATGGGAAGTAGTCTCCAAAGATATCCTCCTGGTCTTCCTGCTTTTTAAATCTTTTCCTCGGCATTCTCACCTCCTGAACCTTTCCACCTGCATCGCTAAATGGATGACCACCATATTTAATTCTGGTTTATCTCATGAGTCCCACCTTTATGACTAACTGGTTGCTGTTTGCAACTCTGTGTTTCTGTCTGTCACTTCAATCCCACCACTGGCCAGCACTGCTAGCTCCCCTATTAGGTGCTCCCATAGCCACCCAAGCATTTATTACAATGTGTTTTCATGATCTATGTCTCCTCCTCCTCCTCTTCCTCCCTCCCTCTCCACCCCTCTTTCTTTCTTTCTCTCATTAGTCTAGTAGCTCCCAGAGGGAGTAAATTATGTTGTTTATTTCTATATCTGCAGAGTCTGGGCCAAGTTCTACAACATTATAGCAGCTTCATAAAGGTTTACTAAATTGAATTAAATGCAATATTTATCAAGCTTTAGCTGGCGTAAGAGTTACTTGGTGTGCTTTTAAACATGCACACTCCTTGGCTTCTTGACACCAACAGCGCCATGTTTGCAGTGGGACACAGGAATACTTTTAATTCCTATATGATTTTTGATTTGGTGAATTATTAGATCACACTTTGGGGAACTCTGGTTTCATGGAATACAGAGAACTAGGGCTTCATTCAAATTCTAGCCTTACCAATTACTTGGCATTTTAATTAAGTTCTTCATTAGCAAAACTGGCTTTTTACCAAGATTCAGTGAGATAATACATGGAAAGCACTTAGCAGAGTGTCTAGCACATAGTAATTGTTTAATAAACTGTAGCTATTATATCTTATTAAATCTATTGCCCCATTTTACCTCTGTCATTCAGCTTATCTATACTTTTTTACCCTTGATTTTTTTCTTTCTTTGATACCCTGCATTTAATCACTGTCAAGCTTTGCCACTCCATCTCAGTAATATCTGCTGTCTTTTTGCTGTCTCTACTGTTATTGCCATTTCTTTGGCAATCCAATTTAACTTACTTTAGCAAATGTTCCTGGTGCACCTGCATGTTAGGAATTGTGTTAGGGACTGAGGATGCAAGGACCATAGATATGCCCTCAAGGAATGGATAGTCCAATAGGGAAGAGGAAGAACATAATTTTAAAATCCACATGGTGTGGTCATTGCTATAACAGAAGAGCAGTAGGTACACCGGAACATAAAAAAAAAAGGATCCACAGAAGTTGACAATTTTGATGTCCCCCATGATGAGAATCTGATATTCTCTGGGCTCCCACCAAATAAGAGAAGATAGAATGACTGATAATCCATGCCTAAGATAGAAAAACGTAGAGGTGACACCTAAGGGGACACAGCAGGGAGAGCTCGCACTGTGGCGTGGGTATAAGTGGGATCAGAAAGCCCTTTCCAATCTCTACCACAATGTGGACTGGTATAAACAGTTTGGGACCCAAGCCTATAACCCCAACAAACAAAAATCACAAATATGAACCAAATATTGTCTCCATTCCCTCTAAGAATATAATTGGCTAGGAAATCACAGTATGGATCTTCATCTGGCCAATATTCCTTATTGATGATCAAGATTAAGTAACATAGAAAATTCAAAGATGGAGCTTTGTAATTCCCACCTTTTGAAACTATAAAAAAATGGCAGGATTTGTATAAATATTCTCATTTGCATGGAAAAATAGTAACTGGAGAGTACATGTCTGAGAACAAAATTTATAAGTTAATTCCTTAGAATTGTTATCATCCAGAGACTTGAACATTAAAATATTGTACATCAGTAAAAGTGTAAATGTAAAGTTTGACCAATGGACTTTGGAAGAAAAAAAATCCCACATTTCTGGAAGCTACAGACATAGACATTCTACAATAAATCTATCCAAAATCCTCTAAGAATAATGGGATGCATGCAGGATGGAATGGATTAGTTACAAAGCTCTCTGTTTTAGTGACCTCAACATTTCTTGAAGATACTTTTTTCCCCTGAAGTGACAGCTGATTAGGTGAGAAACAACTGTATCCTCAGAAATGTCATATTTTCTAATACAAAGTATCCTTCTTTATATGCTTAGATTTTTAAAAAATGTGTTTCTACGGATTCAAAGAATAGTCCCACCTCTACCAATTGGGTGACCTCTGTCAACATCTCTTCCAAATGATGCTGTGTGAATCGTACTTTAATGGTATCAAAAGACACAGTTTTGGACGGTTGAAAGAGCCCAAGTTGAATAATCACACTGGCAACTGTTTACTTTAATGGTATCGAAAGGCACAGTTTTGGATGGTTGAAAGAGCCCAAGTTGAATAATCACACTAGCAACTGTTAGTCAGAATTCTGCCCCTGCCACATAGTGGCTATGGGATTTTGGGTCAATTAATTTACCTCTTTTGAGTCTCAGCCTCTATCTGTAAAATGAGCATACTAATATCTGTCTAATGGAGATTATTTTGAAGGTAAGAGAAAATCATATAAAGCTTCTGCCCTAAATACAGTACATAGGTGTTATGGGCTGAATGTTTTTGTCCCCCTCCCAAATTCATCTATTAGAAGCCCTAACCTCCAAAGTGATGATATTTAGAGATAGGAATTTTGGAAGGTAATTTGATTTAGATTAGGTCATGAGGATGGGGCCCTCATGATGGGATTAGCAGCCTTATAAGAGGAGGAGGACAGGCAGATCTCCCTCTCTCCACTCACACACACACACACACACACACACACACACTCACTCACTCACTCACACAAAAGAGGTCATATGAACACATTGCAAGATGGTGACCATCTGTAAGCCAGAACCAAGAACCAAATCTGTTGACATCTTTTTTTTTTTTT